GTATAAATAAGTAGATATTAATACGTTATATGTGAGTTTGTAAAAAAGTGTAAATGTTGAATGTGAGTCTAAATGCTTTGCAAATCAAAACAACTCTGAGATACCACCTTACGCCTGGAAGAATGGCTAAGATCAAAAACACTGAAGACACCTTATGCTGGAGAGGATGTGGAGCTAGGGGAACTCTCCTCCACTGCTGGTGGGAATGCAAGCTTGTACAACCACTTTGGAAATCAATATGGCGCTTTCTTAGAAAACTGGGAATCAATCTCCCCCAAGATCCAGCTATACCACTCTTGGGCATATACCCAAGAAATGCTCAACCACACCATAAGAGCACTTGTTCAGCTATGTTCATATCAGCATTGTTTGTAATAGCCAGAACATGGAAACAACCCAGATGCCCTTCAACTGAAGAATGGATAAACAAAATGTGGTACATATACACAATGGAATACTACTCAGCAGAAAAAAACAATGGCATCATGAGGTTTGCAGACAAATGGATGGATCTAGAAAAAATCATCCTGAGTGAGGTAACCCAGACTCAGAAAGACAAACATGGTATGTACTCACTCATAGCAGGATACTAGACATGAAACAAGGATGAATTGTCTGCTACTCACATCACCAGGGAGGCTACCCAGAAAACAGGACCCCAAGAAAGACACAGGGATCGCCCAATGACAGAGAAATGGAATGAGATCTACATGAACAGCCTGGACATGAGTGGGGGTAATGAAAGGCGAGGGTCGAGGGAAAGAGAGCTTGGGGGAGCGGGAGATCCCAGCTGGATCAACAACAGAGAGGGAGAACAAGGAATAGGAGACCATGGTAAATGAAGACCACATGAGAACAGGAAGAAGCAAAGTGCTAGAGAGGCCCACAGAAATCCACAAAGATACCCACACAACAGACTGCCGGCAATGGTCGAGAGACAGCCCGAACTGACCTACTCTGGTGATGGGATGGCCAAACACCCTAATTGTTGTGCTAGAAACCTCATCCAACTACTGAGGGATCTGGATGCAGAGATCCATGACTAGGCCCTGGGTGGAGCTCTGGGAGTCCAATCAACGAGAATGAGGAGGGTTTATATGAGCGAGAATTGTTGAGACCAAGGTTGGATAAAGCACAGGGACAAATAGCCAAATGAATGGAAACACATGAACTATGAACCAATGGCTGAGGGGTCCACACTGGATCAGGCCCTCCGAATGGGTGAGACAGTTGATTGGCTTGATCTGTTTGGGAGGCATCCAGGCAGTGGGACCAGATCTTGTGCTCATTGCATGAGTCGGCTGTTTGAAACCTGGGGCCTATGCAGGATTGTTTGGCTTGGCCTGGGAGGAGGGTACTAGACCTACCTGGACTGAGTCTACCAGGTTGACCTCAGTCTGTGGGGAAGGCTTTGCCCTGGAGGAGATGGGAATGGGGGGGGGGGGGCGTTGGGGGGAAGGTGAGGGGGACGGGAGGGGGGAGAACAAGGGAATCCGTGACTGATATGTAGAACTGAATTGTATTGCAAAATAAATTAAAATAAATAAACAAAAAAAAGTCAAAAAATATATATAATAAATTATATAAATATATAATAAATTATATAAATAAATATATATAATAAATAAATTTATATATATATATATATATATATATATATATATATATATATATATATAACAAACAAACAAAGAAGTCTGGGCATTGTGTCTCACATCTTTAATCCCAACACTCAGGAGGCAGGGGCAAGTGGATCTCTGTGAGTTTGAGGCCAGCCTGGTCTACATAGCAAGTTCTAGGCCAGCCAGGACTACATAAAGAAAGCCTGTCTCAAAAACAGATAAATAAAGTCAAAGAAGCTAGGCATGATAACACATGCCTGTGATTACAGCAGTAAGGAAACTAAGGCAAGAGGACTGCCACAAGTTCAAAGCCAGACTGTGCTACAAACCAAGTACCAGACAAAGCAGGGCTATGTAACAATCTTAAACATTAACAACAACAAAGTCAGAGAAAAGAAAATGACACCAATGTACCTTCAGAAAATATCACACATAAGAAGCTGGCAAACATCCATAACGCCAGTTCCAGGATATCTGCAGGCCCCAGACACACATGTGGGTCATATACATCCATATAGAAAGAACAGTCATCCAGCCGATGGTGGTGCACACCTTTAATCCCAACACTCTGGAGGCAGAGGCAGGAGGATCTCTGTGAGTTCAAGGCCAGCCTGGGCTACAGAGTGAGTTGCAGGAAAGGCACACAAAGCTACACAGAGAAACCCTGTCTCGAAAAACAAAACAAAACAAAACAAAAAACCACTCATATACATAAAGTAAATATATCCAAAAATATTTTTTTTAAAGAATGTCTCCTTGTGAGATTTGGAGACTGTACCTGTAAAAACACCGTCGGACACAAATGTGGGGGCAGGAATAAACAAACAGAACAGAAGCAGCTTGCCTGCTCTTGTTTTTCAAAAGCAGTCTTCATTGAAGGAACCACTGTCTGACAGTCTAATGTGTACCTAGCACTGTGAAGCTCCAAAGGTACTGACAGTGGCAGTGAGTGAGGGATAGATGTAGTCTGAAGAAAGGACGCAGAAACAAGTATCTAATCGATGCCAGAGCAGTCACGAAGGCAAAGCAGCATCAATTACTGCATAAGCTGAGGAAGCAGAGCATGACCTGGAGAACCAAGCATGTTCCTAAGAAAGGATACATTCTTCCCCCCACCCTCTCCACCACCCGCCCAGAGCTGAGGACCAAACCCAAGACCTTCTGCTTGTCTAGCAAGTGCTCTACCACTGAGCTAAACCCCTAACCTGAGAAAGAATACAATCTCTAACGTAACTAGGCCATGGTGTCACATATCACATATTCAAAAAATACTTACGAAATGACGACCATCTACCAGATACTATGTCAAGCACTACAAACAGAGCAGTGAATAAAGTAGCCACAAAGTCCACATGGAGCTTACTGTTTATGGGTAAGGAAGGTATAAATATTTTATGAACATAAAATTATAAACAGTGATAAATGCTGTGCAAGGAGACCACTAATAGAGGGAGTTTTTAATAAGCTATATGTAAGCATCAGCAAGTAAGTGGCTGCCGTTCTCCAGCAACTTTCAGAATAAATTGCAAACTGAAGAGTTAAAGTAGCTATAATTCACTTTAAATACCTTGGTATAGATGTTGTGACATGAGTTAATTTAACCTTCGGGGGAAATAAGTTAACATTTTCACTGTATTTTAAAAAAGCAGTTAGTTACCCTTTGAAAAGCCCATTAGTAGACCACACTGCAGGGTGCCTATAAAAATCACTATCATTCTCTGAGTTTTCATTTGATTATATTAACTGGCAGAAGGGATATTAGGAATAACTTCTCACTGTAAAGTAAGCAGAGCACAAGCACAGATCCCACACTGCACCTCTGCTCATGCAGGATAAGCTGCTGACAAACTCCACAATAGCATTCCATGCTGCTTAGTATTTGACTCTGGACCTAATGCAACTAGGTGAGCTAATCCTAAGTGAGAATGGACTGAGTAGGCATGGAGCAGATCTTTCATACAAGTTACTTGTTGGAAGTCCTAAAGGCAGAAAGCTGAAGTTTCACTGAGCTTTCAAAAGCAGGCTCCACAACTGTTTATGTCCTGTATACTAACACGGACACACTAGATCATTACAGTGCCCCACCAAGTAGGGAGTTTATAAGAGAATGAGTACCTTCACCAGTGAGTACTAACCTGCCAGAAATCTCCCTAACAATTATAAAATGAAAAGGATCTCTTCATTTCTCTTATTACTGAATACTGTATGCAACATAGTCATCTCCAAACTTCCCCAAAATAAATTAACATAAAAACATTAAAAGCTGCAAGTGGGGCTAGAGATACAGCTCAGTGGTTAAAAGTATTGGCTGCTCTTCTAGAGGACCTAGGTTCAATTCTTGGCACCTACATAGTGGCTCATAACTGTCTGTAACTCCAGTTCCAGGAGATCTGGCACAAATGGTGTACAGACATATATGCAGGCAAAACACTCATATGTGTAAAATAAGACAAAATAATAATTTTAAAGAACACACACACACTTTAAAGTTGAAAGGCCTGGATGAAGTAACATGCACCAATAGGTCCAGTTACTTGGGAGATTGAGAAAGGAGGATTACTTGGGCCCGAGAATTTGAGGTCAGCCTGAACAATATAACAAATTCTATCCTGGGGTTCAGCTCAGTGGTAGACTGCTTGCCTAGCATGCATAAGACCGAGTTTGATTATCAGCAACACACAAAAAAAATTTAAGCTGACAGGTTGGTGTCTAGCTTATGGGTAGAAGAATCACTCAGCTGTAAAAGGCCCTGTGTTCAAACTCTAATGTCATTTTTAAAAACTGAAAAATAGGCTAGGCAGTGGTGGTATACCCCTTTAATTGCAGCATTTGGGAGGCAAAGGCAGGCAGATCTCTGAGTTCGAGGCCAGCCTGAACTACAGAGTGAGTGAGTTCCAGAACAGCCAGGGCTACACAGTGAGACCATCTTGAAAAAAACAAAACAACAAAAACTGAAAAATAAATATAAAAGCAAATGCTTCTGAATAAAGAGAAAAGGGCAAAGGAAAAACTTACCTAAGATGCAAGAGTCTGGGGAATGACAAAGACTGGGAGGATCCAACTGTATGATGTACCGAGGCTCTAAGCTAGAAGGTAAACACACTTGCTGACGATTTAATCACAACTTACAAGTGTACTTTTTGCAATATAGAGAAAATTTCAACATGAAAGCAACTTCAAGAGCCTAAATTCCATTCCCCTTATTCAATCATTTTAATCACAAGAAAGACAACTGCTTAAGGACTGTTCTGGCATCTCTAAATCTTTTGATAAAAATTACACCTCATTCTTAAAAGATCTAATCAAATCTCGGACATTCCACAATACTATAGATTTTAACCCAATGCCTCCAGGAAGTTCCATGCGGAGAGTGGCTACCTTGCAGTGATCACAGGAAGGGGTGGCAATGCCAAGAGCTTCTTGAACTGGTGTGTACTCAGCACTTCTCCATCAAAGTTCACTTCCCACATTCTGGAGCCTGGGTGTGCACAGTAGATCAAAGGCTGCTGGCCCCCAGCAAATTTTCCGGGGAAGAAACAAGCTCCATATTCTCCATCTCTTTCCTTATTTCCAATTTTCCAAAACTTTTCCCTAATTTCCAGAAACAAAGACAAAATAGGTTTATTTACAAAAACAAAATGTTAAAAACAATTGTATTAAAGAACTGAAAGTGCCACTACAAATCAGCACAGCCATATAACACCCCCCTCCACCCCCACTGACAAACGCCCTTTCCTCTTTCTGGTCTGTTGGTATTGTACCAGAAAACAATGGCACGGACTGGTCCAAATAGGGCCGGTTACCATAACCACTCTGTGACAGGAAGCCAAGGTCTTCACATCAGTACTGTTTATTATCAACAGAAAAGGAGGGCCTGTTTCAGATCCAAAAGGCATTACTGCTAAAAACCACTCCGTTCACCTGTGAACCTTTCCAACTGGCTTTCCAAGTCACTATGTTTAACACAATTCTTTGGACATTCCATGCAAGCTCTTACTCTACCTTTCCAACTGTCTCCAAGACCCTACTACCCTACAAACTTCCAATGAACTCTTCTTCATTTTCTTAAAATCCAGGTTCTTTTGAAATTCTGTGTCTTGGAACATTCTGCTCCCTTAGCAGTCCATGAGTTAGATATGAGAGCTGAGCTGCATGGGATACAGAGGGATAATGACCAGCTTGCTTCTTCCTAAAAACTCCTGTTACTTATTCTCTTTTTGTTTCTTGTCTGTTTGGGTTCTGGTTTTCTTTGTTGAAACAGGACCTCCCTCTGTAGCCCAGGCTGACCTAGAACTTATTATGTGGCCAGGTTAGACTTGAACTCTCAGCAATTCTCTTGCCCCAGCCTCCCAAATGCTGAGATTACAAGCATGACTTTCTTTTTACAATTGTTTTTAGCTGGCAAAAAAAATAATGGGTTTCACTCTGACATTTCACACACGTCTGTCATGTACTTTGCTTGCAATTACCTCCCCATCAGCCTCTGATTTCCTCTTCTACTAGTTCCCTTCCCCAGCTGCTTTGACATCTACCTACCGATCAGGTCAAATGATGCAGATGCAGTTAAACAAATACATATGCTTCTTTAATACACATCTCTATATAATTCTAGAATCTACATGAGTGAAAACTGCAGTGTTTGTCCCTTTCCTCCCCTCTAACAGTCCCCCTTCTGCTTCAGGTCATTCATGTATAGGCATGTGTGCATACACATTTTTATTCAAGTCTAGATTCTACACTTGTCTATTTGTTTCCTGATAAGTCTTCTTCATGACTTGGCTGCATCATTCTTCCTTTGAGAAATGCCCTAGGCCTCTGTTTGCTCAATTACCTGCTTCTTATATGCTGCTTTCACAGCAAGTACCACATTACATATGACACTTGTATCTACTTGAATGGTAGGTTATGAATTATGAATACAGTGTCTGGCCCACAGAAAGCACTCAGTAGTTTTGTTTTGTTTAAGGCAAGGTCTCACTATGCAGTCCAGGATAGCTTCAAACTCAGTCCATTAGTCCCCACTTCTGTCCTCAAGTACTAGGATTACAGGCATGCTCCAGCTCACTCAGCTCATGATGGCAGTCTGTTCTTGGAAAGTGATTTAATATGCTCTTTAGCAGAAGTCGACTCTGAGACCTTCAATGAATCAATAAATATTTTTCCACTTATTTGCTTTGTGAATAAACTGTTTTACTGTAAGAACATGGATGTAAAAATGCTTTGAAATATACAGAGCACTATAAGAAGTTATAATTGTATTTATTATGCTGCTTATTTGCTATGTTGCCTTGAATTCCTAATTCTCCTGCCTCCATTACTTAAGTGCTAGAGTTACAGTATGTACCACCATGCCCAGCTTAGGAGTCCCAATTTTTTTCTTTTCTTTTTTTGGGGGGGTGCAGTTTCAAGACAAGGTTTCTCTGTATAGCTTTGGAGCCTGTCCTGGAACTCACTCTGTAGCCTAGGCTGGCCTCGAACTCACAGAGATCCGTCTGCCTCTGCCTCCTGAGTACTGGGATTAAAGGTGTGTGCCATCACTGCCCATCGGAGTCCCAATTTTTAGAGAATGCCATTTGTTGGACAGAATGTGGGTTAAAACTAAAAAAAAAAATTATGTGAACTTTTAAATTATTATTATACTATCCATGATTCTCCAAACTGAATCCCAGCTAATAAAAGGAGGCAATTCAACATACTATTTCTGCATCAGGTTCTACATTACTGCAACTCAACTCTAGCTGTACCCCATGAAATGAGTATTTCAGGCCTTGTTTATTGCATAATTCTCACTTTTTTATGCATGCTTGAAGTTTTCCATAACAATTTTCTCTATTCATTTACTTATTTCTATTCATTCATTTATTCATTAAGACCTGCCTCCAATTCACCTGCCTCTGCCTAAGTGACAGGATTAAAGGCATGTATGACCACACCCAGTTTCCTTTTATTTCTTTAACTCCAGGAAGGTTTTTCTGACTGTCAGTTTTTAATTTTTCTTTTCTTTTCTTTTCTTTTTTTTTTAAGATTTATTTATTATGTATACAGTGTTCTGCATGCATGTATGCCTGGAGGCCAGAAGAGGGCACCAGATCTCATTACAGATGGTTGTGAGCCACATGTGGTTTCTGGGAATTGAACTCAGTACCATCTGGAAGAGCAGGCAGTGCTCTTAACCCCTGAGCCACCTCTCCAGCCCTTAATTTCTTTTTCTATTACTTTATTGTACATTTACTTTAATTTCAAATTGTATTTGTGTGTCTCTGTGTGTGCCTCTGTGTACACCTGTGCCTATGCATGGCTGTGTGGTGTTATGCATATGTGCATGCATGTGTGTTTGTGGGAGGCAGCTGGGTCAAAGTTCAAAAATTTTCAGTAACTGTTGTTGGCCAACAGCTTGACTGTTGACCTCATCAAGATGGATGCATAACAAATTTTTAAAGAAGAATGATCCTAAGAAATAGGGTGGCCAGCAAACCAACCAGGGCCAGGATGAAAAGAATGGCCACTGAAGACTTCTGAGCATGGAAAACAGCTAAGGAACTTTGGCAGTGAAAGGTAATACTCGTTTAAGCTGTTTCCTAATCTGCTCTGATATTTCACCTCTGAAACATTCCTTTGTCATTTACTGCACCTGTGTCTCCACCTTTAGACTTCAATGGGATTTTGTCAGCTTCATAAAGCCTCTAGTAATTCCTTAACCAATTTTGCCCACTAGTAAAATGCCATTAAATACACAACAAATTTTAAAAAGAGCAATAGAGAAAATCAGGGCAGCCTTTCTGACTCCACACACTGAAGCAAGTGCTTGGCGATCTCATGGCATTTAGGTGATGCCACAGGGTAGGGTTCACTGATTGCTTGTCGTAGTCACCCACTAGACTGTCTTTGTCTTCTCTTTCTCCTATTTCTAACGTTAGCTTGTATTTAACTCGTTTCTTATTAACATCTACAAAATTACTCGAAGGGTTCTGACTCCATGACTAGCAGTACTTGACCTGAAAATTCTGAAATTCTAGATAGCTGATGTTGCGGTCAGTTAGTATACCTCTCAGTGTCACACAAAAAGCATCGAGTCAGTGAAGACACAAGTAATCTTCCATCCAAATAATCTAACTGGACAACACAGGAGTCGACTGTTGTGATTGTCTGAACAGGAAACATCACAAAGGCAGCAGCTGCCTAAAAGGGGTGTGAGAAGGAAATACATTCACAATGATGCACACAATCTCTTCTGCCTGACCTGTTCAAATACTCAGTACTCAGGAAACCAAAACAGGAGGACTTCTGTGAGATCAATGTCAGCCCATGCTGTAAAGTAAGACCCTGTCTTGATAAACCAAGAAAAGAGAAAAAAAAAAGTTCAAAAAACTTAAAAATGAAGCTGGCATGGTGACTTACACCTTTAATCCCAGAGGCAGACAGATCTCTGTGAGTTGAGGCCAGCCTGGTCTACAAATGAGTTCCAGGACAGTCAGGCTACGTAGAGAGACCCTGTCTCAAATAAGTAGATAGATAATTGATAGATAGATAGATAGATAGATAGATAGAAGATAGAAAGATAGATAGAAAGATAGATAGAAAGATAGATAGACAGACATACAGACAGACAGCAGTTAAGAGTACTTGTTGTTCTTGTGGAGGACTAGTTTTCATTCCCAGAACCCACATGGTTCTTCACAACTGTCCATAACTCCAATCCCAGAATGCACAACACATAGACATTTGAGTAAAATACTCATACACTTGCAATAAAATAAATAAATCTTAAAAATTTAAAAATAAATAAACCAGAATTTAATTTGTCTACAATGACATTAAAGTTTCCCTCACTTAAAATTTGTGAGGCTGGATGTGGTGGCACACACCTTTGATCCCAGCACTCAGGAGGCAGAGGCAGGGGATCTCTGAGTTCAAGGCCAGTCTGGTCTACCTATTAAGTTCCAAAACAGCCAAGACTACACAGAGAAACCCTGTCTCAAAAGAACAAAATAAATAAATAAATAAAAATCCGTGAAATAATGATACCTAACTACAGAAATTTCTCAATGTTCTGTTCGTAATTATTTGTGAACTTGGAATGGAAAAAAAAGTATTAATTTTGAAATATGTAAGAGAATTCTTCACCCATTGACAGTATTTCTCCTTTTGAATAAAAAGCAAATTAAGTCGATGCTATATGTAGAGCTTCAATTGTATTTTTCTTTTTGGTTTTTTAAGACAGGATTTCTCTGTGTAGCCCTAGCTGTCCTGGATCTTGCTCAGTAGACCAAGCTGGCCTTGAACTCAGAGATCTGTCTGCCTCTGACTCCTGAGTGCTAGCATTAAAGAGTGCACCACTACTGTCTGGCTCAGTTGTATTTTGAATCAAATATGTATCGGGAAACAAATAATAACTTTGATGGATCATGAGGGACAAGTCAGAATATTCTGGTATGTCCATTTAGACAATAGAAGTTATATTTCTTCTGCCAGGACTCTACACTGAAGCAGTCAGTAAGAGAGAAATTCTCCAAGGCTTAGGAAATACAGCAAATAAAACTGTATCCTTTTCCATTCAAAGTTCTACAAGCTAACACCTTACATCACAGCACATGCACAAGGAGCTGGAGTGGTTCCTTACCTTTGCTTGTTTCAAACTGTTGAGTTTGATGGCAGATACTTTGCCCACATGGTCACCTATAAAGACTCTCAGAACAGCTGTGTCCCAACAGAGGGCAGTAACTTTTCGGCCTTTGTGTTCTGAAGACACATGAATTCGCTCTGGTTTCCCACGACGCTCTTGATTTAACTCCCAAACAACTACAACACCTTGACTGCAGATAAGTTTCAGGCAAATCAAATTACCACAAAAAGAGTTATGGCAATGACAAAAAAGATACAATTGAATTACAGCATAATATTAACCATATTAAATACAATGTAAACTCTTGTTCGTAAGGGGAAAAAGGTACAAATCAAAGCATTCACTTCCTTGTTTTAGCCATCAAATCAATAAATTAGGAGAATCTAAATGTTCTAAATTTTCTTTCTGTTTTCCCTCTCTCTGTCTCTCTCTCTGTGTGTGCATGTGCATGTATGTGTGTGTGTGTGTGTGTGTGTGTGTGTGTGTGTGTGTGTGTGTGTGTGCAAGATTGGAGATACTGTTAAAAATCTTTTAATATAGGCTTATGCATGAAGATTAGGAAAAGGAGGCTCTGAGAGAAAAGTAAGACATACCCAGGTGTGAGTAGGGGCTCCTCAAGGAGAGGTGCCTGTTCCCATTCTCTTTTACGGCCTTTTAGATGTTGTTGCCTTGAATCAGCATTTTCCACAAACACTAAGGTGACCAACTAACCCTCCCAGATGGCTTGAGCACTGAGCAGATTTGGTTCCCCAGGATACAACTTTCAGTACTAAACCAGTACAGTGCTAGGTGAAATGAAACGGTTAGTCATCCTAACAAGCACACTTGTCAGTTTAACATGCATTTAGAAAAGATCATCATTCTAAGAGTGTTTTACCTGGTAGCTACAGCGACATAATCATCATCATGAGAACAGCAGGCAATCTGAGAGATTGCACCTTCCTAGGACATCAGACAATTAACAGTTTGTTTCCATTCTTTTTTTTACTCTACATGATCGATGACATTGGAAAAATTCACATTCATGAAGCATACTCCAACCAACGTGTGAATGTCCTTGTTCTTACCCGGTGAGAGAGAAACAGCCTTTGCTTCCAGCCATCTTTCTGAATAAGGTTGAGTCCTCCTCCTGTGCTGCCTAATGCCAACCATTTCCGAGACACAGCTATGCTGGTACACTAAGAGCATGAAGAGACAAGTCTGAGATGATTGTGCCACACCCACTATGCACTGGGGATGCAGCTTGGTTGCAGGACACCTGCCTGGCATGGTCAAGAACCTAGGCTGCATTCCCAACACTGTTAAAAATAACCTAGCCACTGGAATAAGTACTGCAAGTCTGTGTTCACTGCCTGCCTTCCTTCTTTACCCTGCCTAGAAGGGCACAATGTGACAGCACTCATTTATAATTCTAGAATACTGAACTATACCAAAGAACATTTGGCTTTTAAACTTTTAGTGGAATCTCAAAAAGCTTCTATGAGCCACAAAGATATGAAGTAGGAATTCAGCTGATATTGGTAAGGAAAAAGTTATGGACTTTTCCAGAGGAAAACCAAGACGTAAGGAGTCTTGGTGATATTGGCTTTTGAATGTATTAGCTGTATCCTGCAATGAATTTCTTATGTGCTATTGTAGTTTCCCCATTTGACTCTTCCCTCAAGAACTTATAACAGAGCTGGGCAGCGCACACCTTTAATCTCAGCACTCAGGAGGCAGAGCCAGGCGGATCTCTGTGAGTTCGAGTCCAGCCTGGTCTACAGAGCGAGATCCAGGACAGGCACCAAAACTACACAGAGAAACCCTGTCTCAAAAAACCAAAACCAAAACAAACAAACAAACAAAGAACTTATAACAGTGTGGTTGATCATTAATTGAGCACAACTTCCCCTATACTTTTGGGGTAATTGGATAACTTTCCCCAGCTGTATTTATTCTTCATTAGCTTACATCTGGCCAGGGCCATTCTCTGGACAAAAGTATTTCAACAAAGATACTTTTTTTTTTTTGGCTTTTCGAGTCAGGGTTTCTCTGTGTTGTTTTGGTGCCTGTCCTGGATCTTGCTCTGTAGACCAGGCTGGTCTCGAACTCACAGAGATCCGCCTGGCTCTGCCTCCCGAGTGCTGGGTTTAAAGGCATGTGCCACCACTGCCTGGTTCAAAGATATTTTTTTATCTAAGGACAAGCTGCACATAGATAAACATTAGCTCATCTCACCCACAAATAGAGAAAATGACCACTAACAATTAAGTCCTCAACTCCTTACCTTCATCCTGGTTTATTTACACAAGACCCTAATTTAAGAGATTTATTGCTCACATTTCTGGGATGGTGTTTTAGCCACCCTCTAGTTACTGAGTTAAAGTAGTTATTTCCCACTGACTGACCCAAGGAGATTTCTGGCTAGGCCAGGAAGATGATAGGTGCCAAGCTTTGTCCTATGTCCTTTATCTCAGCCAGATGCTATTCCTAGATTTCCTCCTTAGCAATTACTCAGAGCGAAAGTGATTTTACTAACCAAATGCTACATGCAATGACGTATGCCTAGCAACCGAGCATACATCCCCTGCCCTACTAGAAAGCAGCTTGGGGATGGGGGTGGGGGCAGGGGTGGGGGTGGGGGCAGCACCTAAGAATAAAATAGTTTTACTAGTGGCTTATGCTGACATATATAGACTCCTAATATTTTACCTAACCACTTCTAGATTATAGTTTGAGCACACAAATTCCTTTTTAGGATTCCCTAATTGATCTTAGCCTTTAGTTGAACCTACCAGATAACTCCCATTTTGTCACTCCTTCTTTGGGGTGTTAATCGAAGCTGACAACTATTGCTCTATGTGGGGATCTTATCAACTCTCTCTGCAACCCTGAAAACTTCAAGCCTCGCACTGCACTGCCAAAGAATTACTGCTTGTGTTTATAAACTGGTGCCCCCACAGCACTGGAGGAATTGATTTAGAGGAACAAAGATGAGAATGAAGATGGAAAGAACTAGATAGAAATGAGAGAACAGCAGGAGGGACTGAGAGGAGCTAAGTATGAGAACAGAAAAGAAGCTGTGTAGAGAGAATTGATTTAGAAGAATAAAGTGTATGGACTAAAGAACTCAGTGTGCTTAGATTCATTTGATACTCCTCAAATTAGATTCCCAGCTGGTTGTTAGAGTCTTCCAGGGACCCTGACAGAAAACAAATAAGGGCTGGACCTCTATTGTTTTTGATAAAAGGTGAATAGGCTCACTTGTATAAATGAGTAATTTCTTTGCTACAAGCCAGTTATTAAACGGTTCATAGTTTGTATAATTTGGCCAGGTCATTCCAGTGATGACCACAATAGAGGTAAAACTGAATAACTATGAGGGACAAAACAGCTACTCAAATCATTTCTATCTGCAGAACCATCAGATACATCCAAAGCCCTTATAGCAAATGAGACTGGGAGGACTCAGAGGCAGGTCCCACATCACCATGTCTCTTCAAAACCTCAGCCTGCTCATTTCTTTCCTAATCCTCTTCAACTTTGTGTCTTTCCAACACAGAAGTTGATGAGTCCAAATATTCGCTTTTGTAGGTTCCTTTGCTGACTTGGGTGGCCAAGGGACTCAGTCCCAGCCAGCAGACTCAGCTGCTAGGAACTTCTTGGAAGCTTTGTCTTCTCTAATGAAAAGTAGAGACAAGAAAATGTCCAAAACTTTGTTCTTGGCCCCTCATTCCTGCTGCAGTTACTAATGTAGACAAGCTGATAAGATCAGGCAGGATATTATACTACTACTACTGTAATTAAGCCAACATGTATGATGGGAGAAGGAAGATGAAGAACGCTGTGTCCTCAGTACCCTCAATGGGCCACTACCCTAAACCTAGTAATGCTGAGGTCCAATAGGCGTTTTTTTTTGTTGTTTGTTTGTTTGTTTTGGTTTTTTGAGACAGGGTTTCTCTGTGCACCCTTGGAGCCTATCCTGGAATTCACTCTGTAGGCCAGAGTAGCCTCGAACTCACAGAGATCCTCCTGCCTCTGCCTCCCTGCATTAACTTCTATTTGTAAAGTGTTTACTACTCTAGTTGGCAGCACGAACCTGGAAGAGCTGGACCTACAAATGAGGAGGACTTAAAGTCTCATGCATTAGCCAACTTTATTCAGAGCATCAGACAATTTTTACTCTGAGGGTTAAAAAGAATAATATGAGTAAGATGTTCAATCACAAGGACAAGCCACACATGTAAAAACATGTTTCCATAGAGGCACAGGAATAATAACAGCTGAAGGAAACTCATTTCTATCTGCTACACCTGGGAGGAGCACAAAAATACATTCCAAGAACTATTCTGTGCTTTGAAAAAACTGTCATGTTTTCTTGGTGTGTTCTCACAAACACTCAGAATTCTCACACAACTCCACTCTTAGACTGTGTCCAACAGTAAGGTATGGTATAACTTGCAGCTGAAAACATTTCTGATACTGATCTTCACCACTGTTGACTGCACTAGCCTGACTGCTGTTTCCTCTTCTCCCTTTTCTCAGAAGACAGAAATCTGTACTGGCACATCAGGCTTAGGCCTGCAATCCCAGCACTGAGGAAGCTGAGGCGGGCATTTCACCAGGAATGTGGGGCCAGCCTGGGCTGCACAGTGAGTTTCCAACAAGTCTGGGCTATAGAGTGAGATTCTGTCTCCAAAAAGAGAAAGAAGAGGAAGAGTACGGGGAGGAGAGGGGGGAGGGGAGGGAGGGAAGAGAAAGGGAAAGGAGGGGAGGGGAGGGAAGAGAAAGGGAAGAAAGGGAGGGGAGGGAAGAGAAAGGGAAGGAGGGGAGGGGAGGGGAGAAGGGGGTAATTCAAGGCAACAGCAAAAGTTTAAGAATAAAATCATGCCGGGCGGTGGTGGCGCACGCTTTTAATCCCAGCACTCGGGAGGCAGAGCCAGGCGGATCTCTGTGATTTCGAGGCTGGCCTGGGCTACCAAGTGAGTTCCAGGAAAGGTGCAAAGCTACACAGAGAAACCCTGTCTTGAAAAACCAAAAAAAAAAAAAAGAATAAAATCATATGTGATTAAAACTTTATTCTTCACTGTGAATTCCCTGCGTTTAATCAAGAATCTAAGGTTTCAGGGAGCCATGTCCTTTCCACAGAGCTAACTGGCTTTTGCTTTATTCCCTATACAGGGTTGTATCAAAGTCCTCCTCTTGAAGTAACTGCTGTGGCTCATGTTGTTCAAAATGTAATGGGGTATGCTCATTTATACTATTTTAATGCCAATAACCTACATTACTTCCTGAGAGAAGACAGCAAGATCACCAGGAAGGAGGAAAAAATCAACAGTAGTGTATTCCAGAAGTGAAAAAAATTCAAGTGATAGCTCAAAAAATAAAGAATGAGCTACTTTCACGTAAGGTAAAACAGGCAAAAGCCCCAGGAGTCCACAAAACAAAGAGCAGAGGCAAGAACAGAGCAGGGGCAAGAATAGCAGAGCACACAAGCACATGGATATGAAGTGAAAGTAATGTGCTACATGAGACTGTCTCAAAGCAGAAGCACCTTTAGACGACTGGAATCCAGCCGCAAAGCTGTGAGTAACTGATCCAAGGACTCAAACTCTGCAAGAACATGGCTGTAGGCTTCTGGTATCACTGGCACAAAAGTCATTTAGCCAGAAAGACGAAGGTTGTTCTGTAATTGACACAGGATTTCTCACTGAAAAAAACAAACAAAAAAACTGCAAAATATTAATTACCACCCATTCAACATATAATAACAATCAACAGAGAAAAAGGCGGCCCATCCCTGGAAGTCGGGTGTTGGGGGGGCGGGGGGCGGGGCCACACCTAGGTCCCAATTATACGAAAAAGTTTATTCACACTGTGTCATTCCCCGACTCTCTTAGGTCAGGATTTGCAAGTCCCTCCATAGTCCTATCCCACTATACTATGGAGCAATTTAAGGAAGGAAAAAAAGTAGGACTTGAAAACTGGCCAAGCTCCTCAAAGGTAAGGTAGCAATCCCACTGTGTTTCTTTGTGTCATGAATCACCTGTCTATAGGAAGCTTTCATTAAGAAGCTACCTCGAGCTGGGAGTGATGGCGCACACCTTTAATTCCAGCACTCGGGAGGCAGATCGCTCCATGAGTTCAAGTCCAGCCTGGTCTACAGAGTGAGTTCCAGGACAGGCTCCAAAGCTGTCTCAAAAAACAATAAAGAACAAAGGCTTTAATAAAAGAAACCATAGAGGAATGAGTAAGGTAAGAATATAAGGCAGTAAAGGCCAAATGAAACATTTTATCTATTTAACTACTCTCAAGTACATTTTTTGGGGGGTTGTTATCAAATGTCACCAATTTACGTGGGAAAAGAGAAAAGAAGTTGGTGATCTTGTTGGTCTTTGTTGGACTTAAAAATTCTCATCATTCATATGATCAAAAACCGTATGCTTGCCATCCAGTCAGTCTGGACAGTACACATGACAGACAAAAAAGCACTTGTGTTCAGTGCAGCATTCACCACGGACATGATGCCAGGACCTGCAGGCTTCAAGTTGAGGTTCTTACCATCCTCAGGAGGTTTTACTCCACAGATGGACTTGTCACCAGTGCCATGATGGTACATGAGGTCATCACTTGTGCACTTGAGTCCTGGTACAACTCTGTGAAAGCAGGAGCCCTTATAACCAAATCACTTCAGTGATCAGAGTGCAAAAGTTTTCTGCTGTCTTTTGAACTTTATCTGTAAACAGCTTGAAAGAGATGGGCTCAAGGTCCTGCCAATCAATGGCAATGTCAAAGAATACAGTGGAATTGACCATGGCAGATGTCAAGCAGCTACAAGGCACATCGGTAGCTTCAAAACCTGCTACTCATTAATTTTAACTTCTCAATCTTCATTACCAAGTTAGTGAAGAAGGATGAACAGCAGCAGCAGCTGAGAATATGGCACAGGGGGTAAATGGGGTAATATTTTGTCTGTGATGTAACAAATAAAGATTGCCTGAAAATCAGAGTATGGAGCCAAGTCACTAGTTAGCCACAGAGGCCAGGCCATGGTGGCACATACCTTTAATCCCAGCATTAAGGAGGTGGAGACAGGAAGTGATATGGTTGGGCTGAGAGAGGAATATAAGGCGGGAGGAGACAGGAGCTCAAGCCCTTTCAGGCTGAGGATTTGATAGAGGTAAGAAGTCTCTCCAGCCGGGCGGTGGTGGTGCACGCCTTTGATCCCAGCACTTGGGAGGCAGAGGCAGGTGGATCTCTGTACGTTCAAGGCCAGCCTGGTCTACAGAGTGAGTTCCAGGACAGGCTCCAAAGCTAAACAGAGAAACCCTGTCTGGAAAAAGTTTTTTTTTTTTTTAAAAAAAAGTCTCTGTAGTGGCTGGCTCCTTTACTGAACTTTCAGCATTTACCCCCAATATCTGGCTACAGGTTTTTATTATTAAGACCAATTAGAATTTGTGCTACAGGTAAGGGGTTTGCTGCACAGACATGAGGACCTCAGTTTGGATCTCCAGCACCCACATAAAAGCCTGACATGGTAACACATCAAGGAAGACACATGATGATATTTTTACCTTTGGCCTCCACATGCAAATGGGCTTGAACACACACACACACACACACACACACACACACACACACACAACAACAACAACAACATACACAAAAACGAATTAAAAATCCTAAAGCAAACAGATACCATGAAAAAAATTCAGAAGCATCTATTTGTATTTTTGTCTATGCTTTATATTTTTGACACTATTTTAGAAGCACATTCATTCCATCAGCAAGTACATACTGAGCATCACTCATATGCTGGACATTGTTCTAGGAAAAAACAAAAAAGGAAAAAAAAAGTCCTAACTTTCTCAGAGCATACCTTCCAGTGGTAAAACATACAGAAATATGTAGAGGTTTCTCTTATTTTTGTGGTGTGAAACAATCAAACCCAAAATCTTTAATACTTGACATGTGTTCTATCACTGCCCTCCCTTGTGATATTTTTTTAAATTATATACATGTAATACAGCTTTAGTCTCTACTAGTAGTAATATGTTCTTAATATAACTTGACCTCTATAAGAATTGTATTCTAAAACAAGCAAACAAAATTTAGCATGACTATACTCAAAATATTTGACAATTCCCTACCCAAGAAAAAAATTTCAGTCATTTATCTCTTTTTAATTAATTTGTTTTTATTTTATATGCATTGGTGTTTTGTCAGATCCCCTGGAAGTAGAGCTATAGACAGTTGTGAGCTGCCATGTGAGTGGGAATAGAACCTGAGTCATCTGGAAGAGCATCCTCTGGAAGGGCAGACAGAGCTCTTAACCACAAAGCCGTTTCTCCAGCCCCAAGTCATTTACCTTATTAAGTGGTTAGTAAAATAACAGGGACAGTTGTGAGGACATGATAAATAAAAGAATTCCAGAAATCAGTTCTAGTCAAATAAAAAAAAATCACAAATACCATACATATGTAAATACACACATAGCTCTCGTAAGGGATCACAGTAAGTCAAAGAAAATGTCCTAAAAGGAGTAACACTATTCCCAAGCCAGCCTTTCTCATGAGAAAAGGGGACAGACAGCTGAAACAGTAGGGGTGGAAAAGGGCTGAAGGTATTCAGAGAATACAAGTTTTGTCCTCAGTTAAATATAAAATATAAATAATGGAATAATAAAGCTGTAGCCATATAGGGCTCAAGGTACAAAACACTTCCAACCTTAAGCCAAGGAACTTAAACTTAATTTGGTAGGCTGCAGAAAGTAACCAAAGGATGTAGTGTGGAGAGTTTATACAATTCCTATAAAGTACTATGGGCAGATGCTAGAAAACACGGATTTAAAAGTAAGGAGTGAGCTATAAAGAAGTTACGATGAAGCATTCCCATTACCTAGAAAGTCCACAGGAAAGAAGAAAGCCTCTCTCTTGACATTCTGAGTAGAGAAGACTTAAAACTGATTTGTAACTAGTAGTATCTAAAAGCAAAGAATAGCTTCCTTTTCCATATAATGTGATCTCACCTGTACTTCCTTTTTAGTTTCATCTCCCATCTTACTTTCTCCTATTATTCAAATACCCTGTTCTGCTTTCCTTCCATAAATATGAACTACTGTAGTTTTAGTTATGCTGTTCATTGAATATTCTCAGACCAATAAGCTCTACTTTTCTAAAAAGCTGAGTTTAAACATTACTTCTGTGTGCTGGCAGATTTAAAAACAAAACAAAACAAACTTTTAAAGATGCTAACCTCATAAAAGATGGCAGCAAATGCTTGCCAAAAATCAGTGAACATCTGACATCTTTTTTTTTTTTTTTTTTTTTTGGTTATTCAAGACAGCGTTTCTCTGTGTAGTTTTGGTGCCTGTCCTGGATCTTGCTCTGTAGATCAGGTTGGCCTCGAACTCACAGAGATCCGCCTGGTTTTGCCCCCCCAAGTGCTGGGATTAAAGGCGTGCGCCAACAGCACCTGGGTTGTTTTTTTTTTTTCTAACATCTTTTAAAAGATTGGCTTTCCCAAGGGTCACAACGCTCACAAAATGTAGGTTTGAAAGCAGAATACACGAGAGAAAAGAAGGGGAAAAAAGGGAGGGCCCAAGAGATGGTTTATTGCTGTGCAGGCCTGGTGACTTTGGTCCCAAGAACTCACAGAAAATGGAAAGACAGAACAACTACACAAAGTGTGTGCCGTGTCATGTCACCTCTTCCCCCAATAATAAATGAAAGTAGAACACACAAAACATCAAAACGTTTTTTTCCACTTCCCGGGATTATTTTGATGATAATTCAAAAATGGCAGACAATGGTTGCTGCTCACACAGCCAATGCAAATCACAACGTGCTTAGTCCCACTAGATGCATGGGAGGAAAGACTCGACAAAGGTAACAAAAATTGAAGAAATTTTATGCAAAGGGAAATTAATAGACTTTATTTCCAGAAGAGAATCTTCTTATTCAAGAAATAATGATTAGGAAAATCTGTCTCAGAAAAATTAACGACTCACTCATGCATTCATTCATCCATTCAATATTGTGAGTGCCTACCGTGTTCTAGGCCCTGGAGGCGCCGCTGGAGATGCAGGATGAACAGAGCAGTCCCTTACCACAAGAAGCTCCTAGTAAATCACAACTACCTTTTAAGCCGCCATGACTTTAAACTGCATCTGTCGCTGTGGAGGATAGGAGTCTGGGAAGCAGGTTTTCCAAGCTAGGCTCACAGAACCGCAGGCTGACAAGCCAGCTGCGGCGCCCCCAAAGCCAGGCGGCCACTTCCCTAAGCAGGCCCCGCACACACCCAACACTGACAGCAGAACCTGAACTTCAGAATCGCTGTCGCCCCGCCCCGCCCTTGAAACGTCATCCAGGGGCGCCTCCAAAAGACTCAGCACCTACATTACGGGCATTCATAACCACCTGGGACTCCAGCTCCAGGTGATTGGACATCTTCTAGCTACTGTGCACAGTGTACTCACATGGCCAGTGCTCACACAGACACATACTCACGCACATAAGTAAAAACAAATCTTTGAAAAAAGACTTATTCTAGGAAACTATAAATCTTGATTAGTCATTCACTCTCTGAAGTCACTCTATTTCATAGTATTTCAGAATTGAAATTGTAAATGGCTGTTAAATCCCCTGGAGCTAGAATGACAGGGGTTTGTGAGCTATCCTGTGATGCTGAGACCCAAACTCCTGTTCTCTACATGAGCAGTTAGTGCTCTTAACTGATAAACTATCTCTCCAGTCCCTTATCTCTAATCTTTAAAGTGTATACTATATGTACTAAATATATAGGACTGCAGATCCCGTACATATATATATATATATATATATACACACATATATATACATATGTGTGTATATATATATATATATATATATATATATATATATATATAGCATATGTGTGTGTTTCCTGCCCTCAATTATTTGCATCTTCCTTCCTTCCTTTTCTTTTTTCTTTTTTTCTTTTTTCTTTTTCTTCTACTGAGGAAAGTATTTTGTATGACCAGTGAAATATATTCAATTTTATAGGTACCAACATCTTCAACAACTAGTTGAGATTATCAGCATAAATCAGTCGTATTGTGAATTACAACCACCATGATGTCAAGCTACAATTGCACATCTTACAAAGATTTTACTGTGTCTTACTCCCATGATAACTGTATGAGGTGGAACAGACTGCTTTGATTCTACTAATTAGGAAAATAAAACTTTGAGAGTCTATAATTTGACATATTTCTCTTTTGGTTGTGGCTGGAAGACCATGTAGAAACTCGCATCTGGGTACCAGCTGCCACACTTGCAGCATGCTGACATCCTCACATCCACTCTCCGTGAAATATAACTCCGTGATGATTTTCATGCTTGAATTTAGTAAATCATACAAGAGTGAAGAATGCTAAAGATCATTGCAGTAATGTAACCTGATCTTCATGCCTCTTCTCTAAGCACTTCCATATTAGATACTATAGA